TTTTTATTTAGAATGATGGAGAAATATTAGCACAACGTTGTGCCAGTAGTAGGGATTTTAATAGGGAGTGGCACAAGTTCCCCAATATATGCCTAGTAAGAGTGACAAACAAGGAGAATGGAAGAATAGTATTTGAAGAAAGAGGAGCTGAGATTTCCTAGAATTGTAGGGTAGCATGAGTCCTCAGATTAAACATACACTAGTCACAAGTAGGATGAATAAAAATAAGTGTACAACATAGAGAAACTGAAGAATATCAAGAATAAAGAGAAAAATATTAAAGGCTATCAGAGATGGAAGGCAGATTCCATACAAAGGAGCACTCAAGACTGACAGCAGACTTGTCATTATTACAGTGGATGGGAGAAAACAGTATTGTCTTCATGACCTGAGAGAAATTAATTCTTGGTCTAGAATTTTATCCTCAGAAAAACTATTAAAATGCATAAATAGACGTTTTCATAATTAGAAAGATTTAGGGTAAACTTTTAAAAAATGAACCCAGAGGAAAAGTGTGGAATACACAATAACAGTGAGCACAGATGTTGATAGAAATTAAAAGATGGTATATCAGCTACTGACTATTAGAAAAGTTTTTGGTGTTATAAAAAATAATGCTGAAGCTCTAAATTATAGGAAGTATTCAGTGGGAGGAGGTTAAAACTCTGAACAACTTTAGACTTTGCTTAAAAAAATATACTGTGGTAATCATCAAAAGAATATAATCTATAGCTTCCAAACAAGTGGAAAGACAAAACAAGAGGATCAAAAGCCTTATTAATCCAATAGAAGACAGAAAAGGAGAAATTTGTAAATGAAATAATAGGAAATTAAAAGTACAAATGTTAACAATAATTTAAAAGTACAAATGCTAACAATAAAAGTACAATAATTTGTGATTATTGATATGTTTGTAACATATCAATAATCACAAAAACCACAAGTGGATTAAACCAGGAGTTGCCAGCTTTTTTCTCTAAAGGATCAGATAAACATTTTAGGTGTTGTGAGCCACATACAGTTTCTGCATTTTTCCTTGAAAAACTTGAAAACCATTCTTATCATGCAAGCCATACAAAAACAAATTTCAGGTCAGATTTGGCCTATGAGAGTAGAGTAGTTGGTCAATACTCTGGTCTGAACTTCTAACAGACAAAAATATTCAGATTGGATTTTTTTAGGCCAGCTCTACAGTTCTTACCAGAAAAGAGTCTAAAAAACATAAAAGGTGTATAATAAAGGGTGGGGAAAGATACAACAATGGATATGTTAACCAAAAGAAAGGTAGCTGGCAGACCTGGAGGCAAGGGTTTGCGTCATTGTTGGAAAATAAAGCTGGAACCTTAAATAATATAGGAAGGTTGAAGAAGAGATCACAGCAGAGATTACATTTAGCACTAAACACATAATACATAATCAGCTACAGTTCTGGTGCATAGAGGTGAATTTGTAGCATGAAACACCTTTATTAAGAAAAAGTATATTAAAAATAAACTAGTGATTGGATTAAGAAGCTAGAAAAAGAATATAAAATGAATTAAAGAAATGTAAAATAAAAGAAATAATTTCAAAACTAGGAATTAATTAAGTAAAAAATAAAGGAACAGTAGAGGAGATAAACAGAACCGAAAACTAATAACTTGAAAAAAACTTAAAAAATTATGAGAGGACTCAAGAAAGAAAAAAGGCACAGATTTATATTATTAGCATTGAAATAAGGGGCTTCCTGCACACATAGTTTTTAAACCATAAATGATTACTGTGAACAAATTTATGTCCAAAATTTAAATATTTAGATAAAAATTATATTTAAAAAATCACAAAAATTAACTGAATAAAAACTTGGACAGCATAATTAGCCTAATACATTGATGAACTAAAGCAGTAGTCAGAAAGGACTTTCTTCCCCATGAAGAAGACACCACGTACTGATGATTTTACAGCTGAGTGTATCTTTAAGGTACAGATAATCTCCAATTTATACACATTATTTCAGGGAATTGGACAAGGGAAAAAGCCACAAGCTCAGTTTTAAACCTAGTGTACTCTTGAGACCAGGGAAAATATAAGAAAACTATAGACTCATTTTACGAGCACAGAGGCAAAACATTCTAAATAAAATAGCAAATCAAATTCAGCAGTGTTTATGTTCAGGTTGGGTTCATCTCAGGAATGGAAGGATGGTTTTAGAAGGGATTCCAAAATATTTTGATATAATATACTACATTAAGAGATTAAGAAAATTTTTATGATTATTTCAGTAATTCCAGAAAAATCATTTGATTAAAATATCAACATCTGTCATGATTTTGAAACACCTTAGCCAACTAGGAATACAAGAGAAGGTTCTTTACCTAATACTCAAAATCTAAGTAATGTTTTTATTGATGAGACTTTGGAGCAGGGATGAGGAACCTTTTTTCTGCCAAGGGCCATTTGAATATTTATAACATCATTTACCGGCCATATAAAATTGTCAACTTAAAAATTAGCTATGAAAAAAGCTCCTAGGTTGATTGAATTTTGAGTCTGACCTGCTGTTGCCTTGGCAGGGCCAGACCAAATGATTTCTCACGCCATATACTGCCCTTGGGCCAGATGTTCCCCACCCCTGCCTTAGAGGCATTCTCATTAAAGTCAGGGACAAAATTAAATGTATTTCATGTCACCACTTCTATTCAACAATGTACTAGAGGTTCTAGGCAATTTAATAGATGGATAAAAACATAAAAGTACAAGAATTGGAAAAAAAGACAAAAGGCATATTTAATAACCTAAGAAGTTACAGTATTTCCAGTAATGAACCAATATAAAAATCTAAAACTAATTTGAAAGTTGAGTCTAGATTTTTGGATATGAGCTCAGCATAATCTATAACATTTCTAATAATCCATTAGAAAAGCAATATAAAAAATAGTTTGTGCAGTGACTACAAAATCTATAGTTTATCTAAGGATAAATCCAACAAAGATGTGCAAGATATGCCCGGCCGGGCGTGGCTCAGCTGTTGAGCATCGACCTAGGATCCAGGCGATCGGGGTTCAATTACTGGTCAGGGCACATGCCCGGGTTGTGGGCTTGACCAATGTCTCTCTCACCATTGATGTTTCTATCTCTCTCTCTCCCTCTCCTTTCCTCTCTCTGAAATCAATAAAGATATATTTAAAACAAAACAAAAAAACTTTCTAAAAAAAAAGATGTGCAAGATAATTAGAAAAAAATAAAGCATTCAATAATGAAGTAATAGAAGTCTCAAGTAAATGGAGAAGTCCTGAATAACACTCATGTTTGGGAATTGTAAGACTCACTATAATAAAGATGGTGATTGTCTCCAAGTTAATTTATAAATTCAATTTAAAATCTCATTCCATTTAAAATATCATCAGAGTTTTATATAGAACTTGACAAGAGCCCTTAACATTCATATGGTAAAGGACAGAATAGCCAAAACACCTTTAAAGAAGAACAAGGTGGGGAAGAGAACAGTACTTTTTATAAAATTATAATAGTTAATACAATGTGATTTGGGCACAGATATAGACAAGGTATCCAGTGGATAGAATACAGAGCTCAGTTCCATGAATACAGGGAAACTTAATATTTGTCAGGAGTTGCATTACTGATCAGTGGGGTATTAAAATGGTGGTGGAAAAATTAGTTATCTGTATGAAAAAAGATAAAATGTAATTCTTACCTCATTTTCCAGACTGGATTAAAAACTAAATTTGTAGAGCAGCTTTTAAAAAATTTAGAAGATAGCATAAAAGAATGTCCTTAAGACCTGAAGGAGATGAGTTCTTAAACATATACAAAAGCAATCGGAAAGAATTGATAAATTTGACTCCTTTAAAATATTAAACCCCTTTGCCCGGCCGGGCATGGCTCAGCGGTTGAGCGTCGACCTAGGATCCAGGCGATCCAGGTTCGATTCCCGGTCAGGGCACATGCCCGAGTTGCAGGCTCGCAACCGATCAATGACTCGCTCATCATTGATGTTTCTATCCCTCTCTGTCCCTCTCCCTTCCTCTCTCTGAAATCAATAAAGATATATTTTAAAAAATAATAAATAAAATAAAATAAAATATTAAACCCCTTTATAAAAGTTATTATAAATAAAGTTAAGGTAAAACATACTGAAAGAAAATATTTATAATACATATAGCTGACAAGGGGTTTTCATAGTATATAATGATTGTCTAAAATTAAAGAGAGAAAGAGAAAGAAATAGTTCAATAAAAAAAAATTGGCAAAGGGTTTTCTTTGGTGGGGAGAGGGAAAGATGAGTAAGTGGAGCACAGAGGATTTTTAGACTAGTGATAGATACATGTTGTTACACATTTGTCCGAACCCATAGAATATACAACACCAAATGTGAACCATAATGGAAACTATGGATGTTGGATGATAATGTAGGATTGGTGTAGGCTCATCAATTGTAACAAATGTACCAGTTTTACTGGGGGTAGGGTGTTAATAATGAATGTGTGGTATATGAGAAACCTTTGTACCTTCCCTTCAATTTTGCTATGAACATTAAACTACTCTAAAAAATAAAGTCTTCATTTTTTAAAAATAGGCAAAGTTATATGAGATGGCAATTTAGAGAAAAGGATTGCCTAATGACCAACAAAAAATGAAAAACTGTTCAACTTTTACTAGTAATCAGAGAAATGCAAAATAAAAAATAAGTTGCCATTTCATATCATGAGATTAGAAAAATATTTACAGCCTGACAATACCAAATGGTGACTTGGATGTGGAGCAAGGAGAACTTTTAAATATTTTTGTTGGAAATGTTAATTTGTACAAAATATTTGGAGAATAATTTGACAATGTCTAGTGGAGATCAAACTCTGTTAATTTAACGTCCCAGCATTCCAGCCCTAGATGCAGGTCCTTCGTAGAGGAACTTTTAACACTGTTCACATAGCACATTTGTACAGGAATGTTCATTATAGCAGTGCTATTAATCTTAAAGTCACTTGAATTTTCATCAATAGGAAAATGGATAAGCAAATCGTGATACAAGCAAGCAAAAATGAACATTATACAACTTAAACTGGAACCACAGGTATGAACATGGATTAATCTGAAAAACAATGTAGAAGGAAAAAAATGTAGGATGATTATGTAGAATATAGTGTTATTTATATAAAGTTTATAATACTTCAAAACAATCCTATACATTATTATGGGGTAAATATGTAGTAGAGCACAAAAACTTCCATGAGAAAGATAAACACCAAATTACCGACAAAATTATGTTAGTGATGGAGTGAGGTGAATAGGATCCAGGAAGCTTACATAGGGGGCTCCCACTTTATCTGCAGTATTTAATTTCTTAAAAGAAAAATGCAGAGCAAATATGGTAATGTGTCCAAATTTGATACAGCATATAAGTGTTTTCTGTTTTAATTTATGTACTTCTCTATGCCTATTTATTCAAAATTAATATCTAGCATGTGCCACGCTGTGTTAAGAACTAGGGATGTGAATCTAAGAGGGAAGGGGGGAGGGGCGGGAAGAGATTAACCAAAGAACTTATATGCATATATGCATAACATTTGGACACAGACAATAGTGAGGTTAAGGCGAGTGTGGGGTGGAGGGGGTCAATGGGGGAATAAAAGGTGACATCTGTAATACTTTTAACAATAAAAAAAAATTTTTTTAAGTTGCTTTAAAGAAGAAAGAACTATTGATAGAGCACTGAACAAAAAACAACAACAAAATCTTTAGCCTCATAGAACTTATATTCTAGAGAGTGTTTAAAATATTTTATATTTTTTAAAAGGAAAGAAAAAAAGTCCCTAACCAGGTATTCAGTTGGTTAGAGCATCATCCTGAGAAGCCAAAGTTGTGGGTTTTGATCGCTGGTCAGGTCACATACAAGAATCAGCCTATGAATGCATAAATAAGTGGAACAACAAATCAATATTTCTCTTTTTCCCTGTCTCCCTCTCTCTAAAAAATAATAAATAAAAAAATTTTAAATGGAAAAAGGAGTAAGAATAAAATGAAGTGTATACAACTTTTTTGAGAAAGAGTGGTTGGAATTGTGTAGGTTTCAGTTGATTAGTGATCTATCCAGTAAAATGATTTTCTGTAGTGAGATTCAACTGCCAGATTGCAAGCAAGTAGAAGAGAAGCAACTGAATTGGTCCAAAATTGAAGTTTTGCCAAGTAATTAAAAGGAAAGGCACAGAGAGGATTCTGGGAAGATGGCAGAGTAGGAAGCACCAGGAATATGTCCCCCTACCTAGACAACTGCACTGGCAGAATCTGTTCAATATAAGTATTTTGGAACTCTGGAATCTAGCAACTTCCAGGGGAAGGCTTAGACAGTAAATTGTGGTTAAATTCAATCAATTTTAGCACATAGCATGGTATCAGCTACCCTTGCTCCACCTCTCTGCCCCCCACATCCTGCCCTCCCTGGGAAGCCGATATGCTCGAGATCCTAGAGCAGCTTGAGCAGCTTGAGAAGCTTTCAGGAGTCAGGGTGATCAACATTGGGGATCTGTGTTCTGGTTGCTACTTGCTGCTTCTGATCACAGAGGTGCAAACAAAGAGACCAGGAAGCCATTGTAGCAAGCCCCTTCCTCTTTGGCTGAAGTGATTTTCAGGGCATTTAGAGAGCCAGTGCCTCCTCCCATTTTATTTTTCTCTTTTTCCCCCTTTGGGAGCCTGACATTATTCAAAATCAACTGTGACTGTGAATATATGGGGACACTTAGAAAGTTACCACACATACCCAGAAAAAGGTGCAGATTCAAAAAAGATGTGAGATCCCCCTCGGCTATGGAGAGAAACTGATTTCCAGAGTTACCACATCATTAGATTCAAATGTCAAGTTTTAAACAACAAATCACAAGGCATACAAAGAAACAGGAAAGTATCATCATTCAAAGAAAAAAATTAAAAAAAAAAAAAAAAGTCCCAGAGAAACACCAGATGGTAGACTTACTAGACAAAGATTTAAAACAACTGTATTAAAGATGTTCAAAGAACTAAAGGAGAAGGTCAAGAAAACAATGTATGAACTAAATGGAGATGATAGATGATGATGATAGATGATAGATGATGATAGATAGATGATAGATAGATAGATAGATAGATAGATAGATAGATAGATAGATAGATGATAGATAGCTAGATAGCTAGATAGCTAGATAGCTAGATAGCTAGATGATAGGTGATAGCTAGATAGCTAGATAGCTAGATAGCTAGATAGATAGATAGATAGATAGATAGATAGATAGATGATAGATAGATAGATAATAGATGATAGATAGATAGTAGATAGATAGATAGATAGATGATAGATAGATGATGATAGATAGATGATAGATGATGATAGATAGATAGATGATGATAGATGATAGATAGATAGATAGATAGATAGATAGATAGATAGATAGATAGATAGATAGATAGGTGATAGATAGCTAGATAGCTAGATAGCTAGATAGCTAGATGATAGGTGATAGATAGCTAGATAGCTAGATAGCTAGATAGCTAGATAGCTAGATAGATGATAGATAGATAGATAGATAGATAGATAGATAGATAGATGATAGATAGATGATAGATAGATATTGGAAAAAAAGAAAATAGAAATTCTAGATGACACATGGAAGCAACACAAGTGTCCAGATAAGCAAAGTGTGATATATACACATCATAGATTGTTATTGAGTCTTAAAAAAGAAGGCAATTCTGACACATGCTACATTGTGGAAGAACTTTACTGTCAGTATGGAAGTTCAATATTACTTTTGTTGCTCAGTGATTTTTGAAGAAATTGAGTAGTTTCAGGGTGATTTTTTAATTTTCTAAACTGCATCCCTATTCCCACCTAAGGCATGCCTCTTTGTATTAGCTACTACAGTATTTTTTAAAGTGTTTGAGGCATTTCTTTAACTTACATACAACCCAAAATGTTGGTGCTTTGTATGGATCACAAGTGCAGCATTTCTTAATTCTTTCGATTATTTGTCACAATTGTATTTTAAAAAACCAAATATGTACGGCATGAAAACATTATAACCTTTTTTGCATAGTTTAAACTCCAAGATAACTGGGGGGGGAAACTGTGCTAAATGTAATAAGCCAGTCACAAAAAGACAAATAGTATATGATTATACTTACACAAAATACCTAGAGTACTCACCATCATAAACATGGAAAGTAAACTAGTGATTGCCAGGCACAAGCAGGAGGGTGAAATGGAAAGTTAGTGTTTAATGGGTTCAGAGTTTCAGTTTTGCAAGATGAAAAGAGTTTTGGAGATGGATGGTGGTAATGGCTGCACAATGTCACGAATGTACTTAATGCTATTGAATTGTACATTTAAAAATAGATAAGATGGTGAGTTTTATTTATTTTTTGCTACAATTGAAAAAATGGGGACAAAGGTACAAGCGTCAGGGAGCTTAGAATATTGGCAAGAGAATAGTTGAAATAATGGGTCATGGATTTCAAGATGGATATGAGGGAAGTTGCAAAAGATTGGGAGAAAGTGGAGAAGTCAGTGGGCCGAAAGTTCAGTTGAGATTGCAGAAAGGGAGTGGTAGTGGGGTTATCTGAGCAGGCAAGGTGGGAGGACAAAATGCTATTGGAAAGGCTTAAACTGGTAATGATTTTGGAGTGGAGCATTTTTTCCCCACTTAATGATATACCCTGGATGTTTTTCCATTTCAAAGTCATAGCTCTATCTCATCCATATTAACATGCTATTCCATTTTATAGATGTGTCATAATTTAATTAAGCNGATATACCCTGGATGTTTTTCCATTTCAAAGTCATAGCTCTATCTCATGCATATTAACATGCTATTCCATTTTATAGATGTGTCATAATTTAATTAAGCAATATCTTAGTGTAAACATTATTTTAAATTATAGTGACGTGTTTATTATTTAAATTAATAAATTATGATCCTTACAGAAATCCTCACCCAGAAAAGTCTGACCTCGTTGAGACCAGGGGAAGAAAAGAAGACCTAAGTTCCAGAGAAACTCAAGACTAAAGCTACTGACTGGTGCCCTCTCTAAGGAGAAGGCCCAACCTCTAGTTGGGCATCCTGGAATTCCTCTGCACACTCAACTGTGTTGTGAGAGAGATCAGGTTACACTAACTTGCCCATTAGTGTATATGAATTACTTAGTTAATGCAACAAAATTCAGTGAGTTTCTTCTGTGTGAAAAGAACTGTATCAGGAACTGGAAATGTGAAAGTGCTCTCAAATATAGAAGGCACTATTAGATAAGGGCATAAATTATTATAATACAAAGTGAAAGCAGAAGCAGATTTAGCATGAAGTGATTGAAGCTCAAGTGTTAGTGCCCCTCACTTCCGGGGACCACTTCTAGGTTGGGAGAGACTCTATGAACATACTTACTTATGTGGTCATACATTTTTGTAAAATTTGCAAAAGTGAGATTTTATAAAAACCTGCAGTTAGTTAAACTGTCTCTTTCCTCTCTTACTTCCTACCTGTTGGCATGGCTAAGGATATTTTTGAGATGTAGCAAAACAAGTTATATTGAGAACACAGATGAGTTTATTAAATATATTTATGGGACTCACAAATACTTCATTTTAGAATAAACTTATTACCAGCTGCACAAGTATAGGAGTGATTTCTAGAAATGTCTCATGACCCCCTATGCTAACTCATTGGATGTTCATGGCATAAGGGTATAGAACAGAGGCTTTATCACAGCAGAAACATGCCCTGTGGCACTCAGCACAGGAAGCAGGTGGCTACTGGAGGGAACACAAAGTTTGAAGTGCGTGGAGCCAAAAGCTAGTCTGAGGAAAATTCTTCTAATCAGACATGAAAAACTGTAAACAGAGGGTTTGATTCTTGGCAGTGCCTGGTCAAAACAGAACTATCTGAAGTCAGGAATATTCTCAATAACACAGCATAAATAGTTATACAATTATACATACACCATACATTTTTTTCTTATCGTTGGTAATTGCATAAAAACACAGAATGTGTAGGTATCTAGGGACAATCTGGTGGCGGTATGACAAAGAGTATTTGTATATGTAAAGATGTATGTTTTATTTATTTCAGTTATCAACAATAAAACAATTGTGACCAAATATTACAGAGTAAAGACTGAATTATCTTTCTATTTTCTCTATAGAAAATATTACAATTAAGTAATTCCAACAAGTAGTTACTTAATGAAAATGTTATTTTTCTAGATTTTGTAATGCTTGTTGTATTCATTAAATTGTTAAAAATTTTATTTTGTTGTGATTTCCTTATTCTAAATAAACATTCATCTTCATATGTAATTTTGTACTAATCACTTCCCCTTATTTTTCCTAAAGAGGTCCCCCTTAAGTGTTTAAAATTCAGGCCTTATTGAACCTGGATCCACCCCTGTACAAAGTAATAAGCTTGATAAGACAAAAATATAAAGACTAAGGGACTTCTGAAAAGGAAGAAATTATTAATAATGATCAGGGAAGGGTTTTAATCTAAGCCCTGATCAAGTGGAAGAATTTGAATTCAGAGGTATGGCAAATGGTGTTCTAAAGAAAGATGGGAATTCTTCATAACTTTTTCATAATTTCTGTTCTGGGTCTACCACTCAAATATTGACACACACCCTTCTCTGCTCTCATATCCTTTCTGATTCCATATCTAAAAACATTTTCTAATGATACTTTGTGGACATAGGTTCAAGTAGAAAATTAGTGGGAACTTGGTGGGTGTTCAAGGAAGCAAATTTCCTAGAGTAGATTCTGGGTAGGAGTTCAAACCGAGAGAAATGTGATGATTCTGTAATGGAATCCAGACCCTATTGCATGAATTAGGTAGACACAAAGCAAACTCTCTTCCCTACTCTTGACTTATGGTACAATTAGTGAATAGGAGTCAGAGAAAGTTTTATTTATTTATTTTTTAAATATATCTTTATTGATTTCAGAGAGAGGAAGAAAGAGGGGGAGAGAGAGTTGAAACATCAATGATGAGAGAGTCATCATTGATTGGCTGCGAGCCCGCAACCAGGGCATGTGCCCTGATTGGGAATCAAACTGTGATCTCCTGGATCCTAGGTTGATGCTCAAGCATTGAGCTATGCCTGGCCTGGTGAGGAACTTTTATTTTTAAACTCTAGGCTGGAGTCATCTTCATTCATTCATACGAAGAAAACATAGTATGCAGAAGCCAAGGGCAAGAAGAGATCTTCCTATGGAGCAGTATGGCTAGATACCATAATATCATATCCATGACTTGAGAAGATAGTGTGTGTGCATGTATGTGTGAGAGATACAGAGAGATGGAGATGGAGATGGAGATGGATACCAACCATGTCCTCTAGGCATGGGTAGAGTATCCCTGAAGGAAGTGCCTGCTGCTATCTATGTCTGCAGTCACTTCCTTCCCCATCTGGAGCCACTTCTCCCACTGGCAGGCTCAGCCTTCCATAGGTCTGGTGACTCATTGAGCAGTTCAAGGGGTCCTCAACTTTGGATGACTCAGCTTTGAGTGAGCTTACCATGAACCTAGCTAGCATCAGCTGGGAGAAGGGAGTGCCAGAGACAGAGGGTCAGTCCATGGGATCTGGGAAACAAGGCTGGAGACAGGCAGACAGCTGAGCAGTTGCTGAGTGGTTGAAGGAAGAACTGAGAGTCATAACTCCTGGAGATGGGAATACAGGGGTATGAATTTTCACAATGACTTTCCTCTTGGCAGGGCTGATGCTACAGGCCCTGCTCAAGTGCAGCAATGCCCTTGTCATCTGACCAGTCCTTCCCTAGCCTGGTGCCTCAGTTCCAGTGACTGGGCTTTTGCTTTGTGCTAATGACTAATCTCCTGCTTTCTACTCACTCCTGACTTTGTTTTCCAGGCCCCTCAGGATTGGTGGCTGAGCCTGGGATTTCTGAGGCATGTTAGCTGTGGCCAGAATGATCCACATCAGTTTTTCTCAGTACAGGGATTGTATATTATCCTGTCCAGGCCCCATCTTGTCCTGTCAGCCTCTCAGCCATATGCCTCTTGTAAGATTTCTGATGGCAATGTAGAAGACACACTTCAGAATACTTGCCAGGTGTTAAACCCTGGGTTATGGACTTTCATATTTGCCATTTAATGCAATTTCCTCCTTACAACTGTCCTCCAAGATAGGGATCATCTGTTTTACAGGTAAGTAAGCAGAGACTCAGGTTGTACCTCATATAGGTCCCATGGATGATCATCTTCACTCTGGCTTTATCCCTCTTTATCCTACTTTCATGAAATGTGCTTTCTTTGCCATTCTTCAGAATTGGGCATAATAACATCTACAGGATTGTTTTGAAGGTTAATTCCTCAATATGAAAGTGCCTGGCACATTGTAAATACATAACAGATAATAATTTCCTTATTTCATCATATTCTGACTCCTGCATAGAAAACCATACTTTGCTGACAGTATTTAGGCATGGCACATGTCTAGTACAGCACTGGAGCACATAGAAGGTTGTAGAAAATGTTGAATAGATGAATTAGTGGATGGTCAATGGAAGCTTTAGAATTCATTTAGGGTTTGCAAAAACCTGAAGACCATTCTTTTCTCCCTACACTGTGCTCCTCCTAACTGCCTACTATTTGGGTCTATAATCTGAATATCAAACCTGATTTTTGCTGGATTTCTCTTCACTTGCAGCTGAACCTTTTCAGCTCATCCTCACATGTCCACAAGAACGTGTTTCTCTGTGTTGTGTGTGCCTACTTGCCAGGTCCCAGGCTCTCCTAGCGTATCTGTACCTTTTCTTTCCAAGTCACCATCTTGATACTCTGGACTAAGAGGGCTGAATAAAAATGTGTAGCTGTGTGAGTAGTCCTGAGGGGCTGATTTACTAAGACATAGACTTGCATAGGACCCAGGTATCACTCAGCTGCTATGTGTCTAGATCTGGGCTGAGCAAGGCCACCTGCTGGCTCAGCACCTTTCCAAATAATTAAGCAATCTACTGAAAGCCTAGAGTTTGGAATCAGAAAAAAATATTTGGGTAGAAGTATAAGTAAGAATTCTATAGATGTGTTTTTCCCTAGCCAGCAGTTCCATTAAGGAAATTTATTTTAGTGTTTGGAAGCATGAAGATTGTAGTTCAGTCATGGACACTTCCAGTCATTTTTCAGTCCTCAGTCAGCAGATTCAAAGGAAGCTCAGAGGGAAAAACCCAGGGTTCTGGGCCACCTGTAAGACCTAGGCACAACTGCAGCCATTCCAGGAAGGGGGATACATGACCCCTGCTCTAACTCTGTTGAGCATCTATTAGGTGTCACAAGAATGATACCTGATAATCAAGGCAAAAACTCCCTCCAGACCTTGAGAAATCTCAAAAATTAAGAATCCTGGAAAGAAAGAAAGAAATCTACAGAAAAAAGTCCTTAGAGTAAAGATGGATGCAGTGACCAAGCAATTTCTTTCTCTTAGAGTCCTACTGTCCCACAGCTGGGACACCTGAGTGATTACTAGAGATTCAGCCCCCCCCCC